TTGCACACTGTAGGAAACAAAATAATAGGACTTTTCTTTTTTTGGATGCAGAAAAAGAACAATAACCAACCAACCTAATTTTCCGTTTTTGATTTGCCAAACTGAATTGAATGAACAGACGCTAAGCAGAGGCTGCTGTTTACACAACATGATGATAACACAGTGTTAATCACTAGTGTAATTTGGAGCAGATTGGAAAAACAAAAAAAAAACATACTGGCCCAAAAAGATCAGCGATTTTAAAACCAAATAAAGGATTATCAACACTTTTTCTCATGGCAAGTAAAACTGCTTTTCAACTCAGTATCTTCTCTGCAGCAGTAATTATAATATTGCGAACTGTCCTTCAAAAGACGTAGAAAAGGAAAATAATTCAATTACTGAAATAAAAAGGCTGTTGCTGCGTTTTGTCCCCTTGTCGAAGCAATCGACTTCTTCAGAGGCAGAAACTGATGGGTTCGTGAATAAAACGTCTTTGGTTTTCTGGATTCATACCAGCTGCTCAGAGAAACACTACGATTACAAACAGAAACCAACTGCTAGATATTTACAACTGATTCAGTGTAAGTATGAAAAGTATTGATTAGTGCAGCTGCAAAAGGCTGTAATTCAAAGATGAAGGTGCCTTTAATAGAAGGCTGCAGTTCATCATAGGAGGTGTAATATGTCACATTTTCCAAGGATAACCTTTGCATGTAGTCTCTTCTTCTTCTTGTAGTCTATTTCACACAGAAAGATAAGGTCAAAGGTCCCAGCAGCTGGAGTGCTTTTAAAAGGATTACTTATATGTATCCAGTACCAGGATGTCATTTCTGACCTCCAACAGAGATGAAACAACATACATTTTTTTTCCCTTTTTGACCTGAAAAACTGTCTCTGAGCTCTTTACCACCGCCTGACCTTGAGGACAAAAACCTTACCGTACTACCGCCTCCTGGAGAAACTGCCGCCGCTCGCCCACAGCTTTTGGCACTGGTGGTAATTGGATCCCGGTCTTCCTCTGTCCCCCCGTCGCTCCTCTCTGTTCTCTCTGCTGGAGGTGTCATCATCAGCGCTCTAATAAGGCGAAGGCCACGAGCGCCTTCAGCGAGTCATTATTCACAGTAATGACTTCTCACTCGGGTCTGAACACACTCAGCTCCTCACTTACAAGACACGTTGTATCAGCACACACCGAGCTGGACCGCAGTTTAAAGACTTAGATGAGAAGATACTAAAACACAAACTGACCAGACTTTTACAGGTGTGTTTTAGCTCTTTAAACACAAATACACGCCACAAATCTGCAGCTTCACCGCTGGATGCCACTAAATCCTACACACTGCTCCTTTAAAAAATGGATAATTAACTGCTTTGTGAGTCTCATTTCAAACAATTATCTGACTTTTTAGAAGAAGAAGACTTTTCTGAATCAGAGAGTGAGGTTGACCAGACAATGGAAAGGGCTGGGGTACAGTGCAAAACTCTCAGGGGTTAGGGGATTGTCAAGGAAAAAGGTTGCAGCGCCCAAAGGCCTGCAGGTTTGTATTATCTACTGTGCGCTTGGAGGGTGAAGTGTGGGAGTTGCCTCCTACAACTACATCAGATCCTACACACTGGTCCTTCAACTCTAGGCAAGAAAGTGAATAAGCATATTTTGCAAAATGTCAAACTATCCCTTTAAAAACATTTGTGGTCACGGAGAAGATGTGTTTGGTGATTTTTCATCAATTGTTAGTGAAGAGTCGTTTTTCTGACAGTAGCTTTGAACTGAAGCTATTATCCAGATCCGTGTGAGGAGCAGTAACAGAGACTGTACCATCAGCTGAGCTTCGCCCACACACACACAGCTCAGCTCCTTTATTTTTGAGTGTTTAATTTTTAACACTGTGAGTTCTCAGGAAACAGGATCATCCAGCGGCTGCAGTGCTTCACTTCCGAGAACAAACTTTCCGATTATTTCAAGGAAACTCTGACAATATAAACTTCTTCAGGTCGGATGATAGGAGGGATGTTCAGCACATCCTAGCTGGTAACCACTGTTAGGCCACTGTTAGCAGAGTTTAATATCAGCAGAGTTTCAGTTTGTGTTGCTGAAAATGACTAAACTGTTTTAGTTGATCATATAGTATTTTAGTAAGAAGCCTCCTTTTCTGATGTGCTCCTGTTCTTATTCCCTGTTGATACAAACTCAACACTTCCTCCATGTTTACCTGTTGTCTAAATAAATCCAGTATAATGCACATTTACACACAACCAGTACAACAACAGACTCATTGTGATGTCATTTGCTGCTCTAAATTTATTAGCTCTAGTTTGCTGTTTCTTTGGGAAATTAACATTTCCAGCATCTCACACTGTGTAATTCCTCCCTTTCCTGGTATCTTTTAATGTAAAAACATCAGCAGGAAGTTTAGAGTTTCACTGACAGTAAATTAACAGCAGCTGGAATAAAAACAGTATCATTAAAATGTGTTTTTAGCAGAGTGGTAGTTGCACTGACGGAAATGCGGAAATGACTTTATGATGAGATAAAAAAAAACTTTATTTATCCCACAAGGGAAAGTCAAGTGTCACAGCAGTGAAATTAAGTTTACAAAAACACAGAAAAGTAACATTAAAGGTTCTATATGTAACTTTGTAACCTTTGTTAAAGGGTCTGTCATATATATAATGTTACAGTGTCGGATGTTTATTAAACAAGGCCACAGTGTCAAATACTGAGGCGAACATTTGTGACAGTAATTCCTTCAGAATACAAACTGCTCTGAATGCATTTCCAGTGTCTCTTTCTATTTTATTTGAGAAACAACATCAGCTCATCACAGATTTCTTTATATGGTTATTTGCTCCAGGCAGACCACAGCTGAGCGCACCCATGAAGTACAGGGACCAGGACCACGTTTTTTGTCTGTTCAGGAATCAGGACTAACCCTTCAAGTTTTTCTAAGTATTGCCAATAATGGTTGTGAAGGAAAGTTACACATTTTCTCTAATGTCCTCTGTCTTCTCTGCCTCAGCTCTCTGGCATTTATGGAGTTTACTGATGTACATAATAGCTTTACATGTAGCTATTAGCTAACCACTAACTGCTGCTCACAGACACTGGTGCTCCCAGTCTGTTAGAAGCCCCACATCCACTGCCCTGTTAACCCTGTTGAGCATGGTTCACAGTTTGAGAACATCTGATCTAACATGACTCAAAAGAAAAGGGTTTGATAAACATCATCTTCATCTCAAGCTCTTTATGATGAACAGAGTGAAGAGGAAGGTAAAAAAAGGTTCCTTCCACTGCAGACTCAGGAGGATTTCATTTCAAAATAAACCTTAAGCACTTACATATTCCTTATCAGCACTGGGATAGAGGAAGAAGACGTGTGTGGTATTGATGAATCAGTCAGTTCACCACACTGAGGTCAGTAAACTATAGTGAGTAGAACTGTGCGTGTGTGTTCAGAGCTGGAAATGCTCTCTGTAAGTATAAATTATAAAAGACTGCAGCACACACACACACACACACACACACACACACACACACAGCTTTGATCTATTGATCTTGATGTTCTCTCCTTTACTTCAAATATCATAATTAAATCATCAAAGCTGCAAACACACACACACACACACACACACATTATGTGTTGGATATCAGAAAGGTGATGTGATGGAATAAAGGAAAACCTACAATAATTACTTGGTAAATTATTTTATTAACTTTAAGAGTAAAGTTTCTGTAATTTCAACTTTTCAACTCAACTAGTTAATGCTAGGATGCATCAGCTGATGGAGGGGTTCCTGGTTGTGTGGCTTGTCTTGTTTTCTGTGCAGGTACTTTAAGTGGGCGTGGCAGAGGGTCGTCAGCAAATTGGACACACCTGAGGCCTGTG